CTTTTTCTTTCATTTGTGTTTCATAAAGTCAAGCTAGCTAGTAAGGTTTTCCAAAAGATTTTAAGATTTAGGCAAGAGGGTCAACGTTCAAAGCATTGTGGATGTTCTAATTGGACTTGAGTTTTAAATGACATGGACAAACCCAAGTAAAAAAACTCAAAAACTTTGCAATGCAAAAATAAAGAGACTAGGTCTAGCATACATGTCAACCAATAGAAATGCTCTAATATGTTTTATTCATTAAAAAAAATTAAATTAAAGAACAAATGATGAGTGTTTGGGTTTGTACTTGGGTCCAAAATAGACCCAAGTGTGGACTTAGTCTCTTTTTTTCACTGCCACATAAGCTAGACCATGTCCATTTTTAATTGCATTGAGAAATATTTTTTTATAGACTAAGTCTATTTCCTATGTGGTATGTGATTTTTTGTTAAGAGACCCAAAGCATTGTGGGTGCTCTAATTGGCACTTCAGACGACAATTATTGTCTTTTTACTTTATTCAGATATGCATTAATTGTATTTTAGGGACACGAGAAAAACACAACAAACATACCATTTGAAATATATACAATCACGTATGTATAATTTCCTTTCAATTGGCACTTCAGACGACAATTATTGTCTTTTTACTTTATTCAGATATGCATTAATTGTATTTTAGGGACACGAGAAAAACACAACAAACATACCATTTGAAATATATACAATCACGTATGTATAATTTCCTTTCAATTGTTCTATTGTGCCGATATCTCATTTACTTCGGAGATCTCTCTTATCGACTTCATTAGCCCGTTTTGTCATCTTTAATCACAACTCACGCACATAAAATTAGTTTGATAACAATTCGTTATCAAGAGTAAACTTTGAATAACTTCAAACGAAAAAAATAACAAAATAAAAGAACACTCTTGAAAATATCCCCCTATATATAAATTCAAAACGTGTTGAGCCTACGTGGCAGACTCGCATGCTTCTGGATCTTACGTGACAAAATTACATGCTTCTTTATTAGGCTTGAGTAGATTTTAATTTACTTCTAATCCAAAAATAACTAGGTTTGGATTGTCCATAAATATGTTGATTATTTATAGTCATGTTCTATGTATTAATTAAATTTTAATCATTTTTTGTTATAACCATTGAATTGTAAATATATTTTAAAAGTTAATGATATAAGTTATAAAAATTATTATAATATAGTAACAAGTGTCATTCTAAAATATATAATAATATATATTTTTTATATGAAAGTAAATAATATTTAAAATAATTTTTATCATTAATTTTAAAATTTAAGAATAAGTTTTTAATAAGTACCGTGTAATACACGGGTGGGTGTTGTACTGATGATAGATTAACGGAAAAGGTTGAAAACAAAATGTATTGCATGACACGTTTCATAAACTGTGCAGGAACACTATTGATAACAATAATCATTGAAATAAAGGACAACATATCTATCAATAATTGAACTGCAAAGAATAGTTTCATTGTTCTGAAATGCAAAATGGGTACGTAGTGGATGATGTGGGAGAAGACGTTGAAATATAATAAATTTATACATGAAGATAGTAAAATTAATTAACCATTTGTACATGGGTAAAACCAATTAAAAATAATAGTTCAAATAATACCAATTCAATAAAAAACGGATCTCTACTTATATATCTAAAACAGACATAAAGATAGTAAAACTAACAATTTATACCCAGTAAAAGTAGTTCACCGGATGATATTTTGTTTTACTTAACCATGGTTGCAATTTTCCTTCAAAATAAACTCTTGGTGCATATAGCAGCTCTTTTATTTGGGGAAATTGGGGATAAATAAAACCGATTTTGATTAAGTTAATTGATTAAAGCAAAATATTTTGAATAAAGTTGATTGACATGAGGATTGAACATTGTTTATGATCTTTTTTTTTATTATTATTATAGAATTGTCATGTCTTGAATCGAAAAATAATTCAAATAATTCGTTACCAAACAAGTTAATTATGGAATTTAACTGATAAAACCCTCAAAATGAGGTCTAACCCACTAGTTCAGCACCAATCCACTGACAAACAAACGACTCCATCCATATATCTTTTATGACAATTTTAGGGAACCCACAAATGATATATATTTTGTATTATTACTTAACCATGGTTACAATTTCCCTGCAACTCAAAAACTCTTACTTCACACCAGCAGCTCCTTAGAGATAGAGCTTCTATATAATTGCATCTCCCTCACCAGCCTCTCAGTCCATAAGACACACACACACAGACACACACCACTTGAAAAAAAGAAAAAACAGAAAATGTCGGCATCAATCGCAAACACAGTTTTCCTCCAAGACCAGAAGCTCCGGCAGCTGGCTCAAGTGATCCGCGGCCACGAAGTGAACAACATGTACCACATCACCTTTGCCAGCTTAGGCGAACAGCTTCAGTACCTGCGCATGGCCAACGACAACATGGCCTCCGTCAACACAATCCTCGACGATGCCAATGCCATTGTCCACCGCTACAGAGGGGACACCGCCAGGCTGTCGGTCGCCAACATCATCCACACCTACGTGGAGCATTCCCTCAACAACGCGCTCCAGCTCGTCCCCAACTATACCCTCAGGCGAGACTATCTCGACAAGATGATCGAGCACCACAAGGTCGTTTTCGAGACCCTCGAAGGCCTCAACACCAACAACCAGAGCCAAGTGAACGAACTAGCCGAGGCTGTCAAGGAGCTAGACGACGTGAACATAAGTTACATGAGGCTAAGTCTCAACCCGCACGCCTCCGCCGAGTTCTCCAGGTACCTAAGGAGCATAGCTATCTCCTTCGAAGACCTCGTCAGCGGGTAATCAATCGATCCATCAATTTTATTGTTATTATGGTAAAAAAAATTAACATTAGCTGCAACCTGCGTTTTTTTTTTTTTTTTTTTTTT